CTACCCGTGTCCACCTTCTAATGAGAGTAACTCTTCAACTCATACATTGTTTAATTTCCCTTCATGCTTACCGAAGGATGATTGCTATGATCCCTTTAATTCGTTTGAAACACCCCTTTTTGGTGAACTTGATGCTTGCTATGCTTGTGGCCATGATGCCAATATGAATGATGCTTATGGAGATGAACTTGCTATATTCCTTATGTTAATAATGAAATTGTTACTATTGCACCCACACATGATAGTCCTATTATCTTTTTGAATTCTCCCAACTACACTATATCGGAGAAGTTTGTGCTTATTAAGGATTATATTGATGGGTTGCGTTCTACTATTGCACATGATGATTTTGATAAATATAATATGCATGTGCTTGCTGCTCCTACTTGCAATTATTATGACAGAGGAACTACATCTCCGCCTCTCTATGTTTCCAATACAATAAAATTGCAAGAAACTGTTTATACTATGCATTAGCTTTTACATTGTGTGCATGAATTGTTCTTTTATGACATGCCGATGCATAGGAAGAGAGTTAGACTTCGTCATTACATGATATATGTTACTTTGTGCTCACTACTAAATTACAAATCATTGTTAATTAAAATTGACTTTGATATACCTTGGGATCCAGGTGGATCCATTACTTGAGCTCTATATGCCTAGCTTAATGGCTTTAATGAAAGCGCTGCCAGGGAGACAACCCTGAAGTTTTAATGAGTCATTTATTTCTGTCGAGTGCTTTTATAAAGTTTAAAACCAAAAAATAAAGTGGGGAACCTAAAACTTTTCAAAAAGAAAAGTGAAAGTAAGAAGGACGAGCATCGTTGAAGTGGGGGAGCTCCATGAACTTTTGTTCATGCCCATGGAAACTTTGCAAATCTTGAATTACAGAAACTTATCAAAGAAGAATTATCCCCTTGTATAAATTTATTGTATTATAAAAATAATGTGCCAAGATTTGCCTTTAGGATGATTAGATTGCTTGTTTGGTATGTGAAGTGGAAAAATAGAAACTTTGGTTGTAGCGTGAATTTACATTTTTTTACTGGAAAGTCAAACGGTTCTGAAACTTTTTGAAAGTACTTCTATACAAATTGTTTATTTTTCCTAATGTTTCAGAATTTTTGGAGTTACAGAAGTATGGTAGATGTTCATATTGCTATAGACTGTCCTGTTTAAGACAAATTCTGTTTTTGATGCATTGTTTTGCTTGTTTTGATGAAACTATCGATTTTATCGGTGGTATAAGCCATGGAGAAGTTATAATACAGTAGCTACAATGCAAAAATAAAATATGAATGTGTTTGCAACAGTACTTAAAGAGGTGATTTGTTTTATTATACTAACGGATCTCACGAGGGTTTTTGTTAAGTTTTGTGTGATTGAAGTTTTCAAGTTTTGGGTGAGATCACGATAGCTGAAGGAATAAGGAGTGGCAAGAGCCTAAGCTTGGGGATGCCCGAGGCACCCCAAGGTAATATTCAAGGACTCCCAAGAAACTAAGCTTGGGGATGCCCCGGAAGGCATCCCCTCTTTCTTCAGACGATCATCGGTAATTTTACTTGGAGATATATTTTTATTCGTCACATGATATGCGTAAATCTTGGAGCGTCGCGTGCTTTTTCTTTTTCTTTTAGTAATGCACCATGCTAGTATGAGATAGTCCTTGGTTTATTTATAGAATGCTCTTTGCACTTTGCTTATATCTTTTGAGTATGACTTTATAGAATGCTTCATGTGCTTCAATTATATCATTTGAAGTTTGGATTGCCTGTTTCTTTACGCATATAGAAAACCGCCATTTGAAGAATGCTCTTTTGCTTCACTTATATTTGTTAGAGTATGGGCATATCTTTTGTAGAAAGAATTAAACTCTCTTGCTTCACTTATAACTATTTAGAGAGTCAACAGGAATTGGTCATTCACATGGTTAGTCATAAAATCCTATATAAAACTTGTAGATCACTGAATATGATATGTTTGATTCCTTGCAATAGTTTTGCGATATAAATATGGTGATATTAGAGTCATGCTAGTGAGTAATTGTGGATTGATAGAAATATTGTGTTAAGGTTTGTGATTCCCGAAGCATGCACGTATGGTGAACCATTATGTGATGAAGTCGGAGCATGATTTATTTTTTGATTGTCTTCCTGATGAGTGGCGGTCGGGGACGAGCGATGGTCTTTTCCAACCAATCTATCCCCCTAGGAGCATGCATGTAGTACTTTGTTTCTATAGCTAATAGATTTTTGCAATAAGTATGTGAGTTATATATGATTAATGTTGAGTCCATGGATTATACGCACTCTCACCATTCCACCATTGCTAGCCTCTCTAGTACCACATAACTTTCGACAGTGCAATAAACCCACCATATACCTTCCTCAAAACAACCACCATACCTACCTATTATGGCATTTCCATAGCCATTCCGAGATATATTGCCATCCAACTTCCATTATCATCATATACATGACTTGAGCATTCATTTCCATATTGCGTTGCATGATCGTAAGATAGCTAGCATGATATTTTCATGGCTTGTCCGTTTTTTGGTATCTTTGCTATGCTAGATCATGCACATCCTGGTACACTGCCAGAGGCATTCATATAGAGTCATATTGTTCTAGATATCGAGTTGTAATATTGAGTTGTAAGTAAATAAAAGTGTGATGATCATCATTATTAGAGCATTGCCCCAGTGAGGAAAGGATGATGGAGACTATGATTCCCCCACAAGTCGGGATGAGACTCCAGAGGAAAAATTAAAAAACAAAAATAAAAAAAGAGGCCAAAAAAAGAGAGGGCCAAAAAAAAAACAAAAAAATGAGAGAAAAAGAGATAAGGGGCAATGCTACTATCCTTTTACCACACTTGTGCTTCAAAGTAGCATCATGTTCTTCATAGAGAGAGTCTCCTATGTTGTCACTTTCATATACTAGTGGGAATTTTTCATTATAGAACTTGGCTTGTATATTTCGATGATGGGCTTCCTCAAATGCCCGAGGTCTTCATGAGCAAGCAAGTTGGATGCACACCCACTTAGTTTTTAGTTTGAGCTTTCATACACTTATAGCTCTAGTGCATCCGTTGCATGGCAATCCCTACTCACTTGCATCGATACCGATTGATGAGCATATCCATAGCCCATTAATTTGCCTAGTTGATGTGAGACTTTCTTCCTTTTTGTCTTCTCCATTAATTTGCCTAGTTGATGACGAGAAGGAATTAAGCTGGGGGGTGCTGATACGTCTCCGTCGTATCTATAAATTTTGATTGTTTCATGCCAATATTCTACACCTTGTATATACTTTTGGCAACTTCTTATACTATTTTTGGGACTAACATATTGATCTAGTGCCCAGTGCCAGTTCCTGTTTGTTGCATGTTTTTTGTTTCGCAGAAAATCTATATCAAACGGAGTCCAAACGTGATAAAAACTTACGGAGATTTTTTTGGAATATATGTGATTTTGGGGGAAAAGAATCAATGCGAGACGGTGCCCGAGGAGTCCACAAGGACGGGAGGCGCGCCCTAGGGGGTAGGGTGCGCCCCTGGTCCTTGTGGCCACTCCGTAAGGCAGTTGGTGCCCTTCTTTCGCCTCAAGAAAGCTAATATCCGGATAAAAATTGTGTTAAAATTTCAGCCCAATCGGAGTTATGGATCTCCGGGAATTTAAGTAACGGTGAAAGGCCAGAATCTGGGAGCGCAGAAATAGAAGGAAACAGAGAGAGAGAGATATCCAATCTCGGAGGGGCTCTCGCCCCTCCGCCGCCATGGAGGCCATGGACCAGAGGGGAAACCCTTCTCCCATCTAGGGGGAAGGTCAAAGAAGATTAATAAGGAGGGGGGCTCTCTCCCCCTCTCTCCCGGTGGCGCCGGAACGCCGCCGGGGCCATCATCGTGATGGCGATCTACACCAACAACTTCACCACCATCATCACTAACTCTCTCCCCTTCTATGCAGCGGTGTAACCTCTCTTTTACCCACTGTAATCTCTACTTAAGCATGGTGCTCAACTCTATATATTATTATCCAATGATGTATGGCAATCCTCTGATGTTTGAGTAGATCCGTTTTGTCCTATGGCTTCATTGATGCTCGTGATTGGTTTGAGTTGCATATTTTATTATTGGTGCTGTCCTATGATGCTCTTCGTGTCGGGCAAGCATGAGGGATCCCCGCTGTAAGGTTTGCAATATGTTCATGATTTGCTTATGGTGGGTGGCGTGAGTGACAGAAGCACAGACCTGAGTAAGTAGGTTGTTTGCGTATGGGAATAAAGTGGACTTGATACTTTAATGCTATGGTTGGGTTTTAACTTAATGATTTTTAGTTGTTATGGATGTTTGCTACAGTTCTAATCATAAGTGCATATGATCAAAGAAGAGAAAGTGTGTTAGCTTATGCCTCTCCCTCATATAAAATTGCAATAGTGATTACCGGTCTAGTTATCGATTGCCTAGGGACAAATAACTTTCTCGTGACAAAAATCTCTCTACTCAAACTAATTTAGTTGCTTATTTATCTAAACAGTCCCTACTTTTTATTTACGTGCTCTTTATTATCTTGCAAACCTATCCAACAACACCTACAAAGTACTTCTAGTTTCATACCTGTTCTAGGTAAAACGAACGTTAAGTGCGCGTAGAGTTGTATCGGTAGTCGATAGAACTTGAAGAGAATACAAATCCTACATTTAGCTCCTTGTTGGATTCGACACTCTTATTTATCGAGAAAGGCTACAACTGATCCCCTATACTTGTGGGTTATCAGCAGTGCATAGGGATTATGTTGTTTTTTATTCAACTAATTAGATATTATCAAAATAAATCTCATAACTGATCTAGTAATTAATATTAACTTTGTGTTATTTTTGTTGCTAATTATTTCTATATTGGTGGTCAAACTTAGAAATGTTCCAGTGCAAGGATCTGAGTGGTATCTGTAGCAACTCGAAAAGAAATAGTGAACTCCCAATTTTTGATCATACCTGGATACTTTCCATTTCATGAAGCCTATCAATTATATTCCGTGCACTAGCTGGCCTCTTCTTTGGATTGAACTCTCTGCACTCTAAAGCAGTCTCATAGCATACTCGTATTTGTTCGCATAGCTTGTCTCGTTGTGATCTCTCCAATCTATCAATCCAACTTTCAAGTACCTAAATAATTGGAGCGGTGAGTTATGGTGTATGAAATCGATCAAGAACATCCTTCCATATAGGATACTCGAATATGTATAGTATATTGCGTCCCAATAGATTGCATCAAACTAACAAAAACATTCTAAAAAGTAAATTGTGTCCCAATAGACTCAACTCATTTCCTTGTTGGATAGAAACAAATAGAATAAAAGGTAAAATCCTTGTTCGCAATAATAAGTTCATGTTTTCCCTTAGCAAGTGGTACTTTTACCTTGATTTTTTGGGTGGTGGTGTGGTGTTGTATGCAACATCTCAAACTAATGTGTAATAACAATATGCGAAGTAGAAGCATGGCAATTATTCTAAAGTTAATCCTTTTTAGCCAAGAGGGAAATTGTGCTTTATTTTAGTAACAATGGTATATATGTCTCTTACATCCTCAGTATCTTGATGCCCCTTCTGTCCAGTCAGTATTTCTATGATAATAACACCAAGACTATACAAGTCACCGCTGCATGCGATTTCACCCCCTTCACGATGTTCTGGTGCCAAATATCCCCTGTATGAAAATATAAAAGTTTTGACTGATTCATGTACAAAGAGAGTGCAATTTGAATAACAGAGCACAAAAGACTGAACTTTCAAAAGAAGTGATCTTGCTTACATTGTTCCTATTATAGTTTTGGTAATATCCCGGCTTTGATTTTCATCGAAGCATCTTGACAGTCCAAAATCAGTAATTTTCGGTATCATGTTATCGTCGAGCAGTATGTTGGCAGGTTTCAGATCCATGTGAATAATACGATTCTCATGAAGGTACTGTAGACCCACACAAATCCCTTTGATTATTTTATAGCATGTTGCCCACTCACGATTTGCATCTACAAAGGGGAGAGGACAAACCGGGTTGATGACTTGAGATACTTGATGTCTTAACTTTTAAATACTAGATGTTATATGGCGCATTATACAATTGTAGTATATTAATGAAGAAGATAAAAAGAAAAGTTAGAGGCCACTTGGTCGTACCTTTGATATACTTTTCAAGACTCCCTTTAGGTATATATTCAAAGCAAAGCAATCTTTGGTGGACATCTGCCATGACACGTTTTCCTTCGTACCATGCAATATTTCCTTGTCTATCATCACAATATCCTAGAAATCTTACTACATTTTTGTGCTTTACACGCATGAGGCATTCAATCTCTCGCCAAAATTCGTTTTCATCCATTACATCCTTCAGCAGCTTCTTCACGGCGACCGCCCTATCGCCAAGAATTCCCTGTCACTCACAGATGTTAGCTTCGCATTGGTTTGAGCTTTCAGATCGATCGTGATTAGGATTGGAACACTCATGCCATGTTTAATACCTTATAAACCACTGCAAATCCACCGCTTCCAATCTCTTGGTCATCAGAGAAATCACTTGTGATGTCTTGCAAAAGTGATAATGGCAGGGCCTTGGGCTCCACGATTTCCTGGACTAACATCTGCTCTAGGTCACTTCTTGCAGTACTAGCTTTGCGCTCCATTTGCAACCAGTGTGTAATTAACCTGGAAACTGGAGCAAAGTCATTGTGTATGTATGAGCTTAGACTACCCATAGTGGGAGTAACATAAGTTGTAACATCACACATATGTAGCCAAAATAGATGATGTGATAAGTAATTAATGAGAAAAGGGAGGCATATGGTAACATCACACTATGGGTAACATCACTCAAGTAGCTAATTAATGAAGTAATATCAGCCGATGTTTACAGTACCGGAGAAAGTAGGATCACTCACCTATATATTTTGTATGCAAATAGAACACAGTAATTATGAGTTTGACCCTCCTTGTCGTGCATGTACGTACCGTTTAACAGCACAGCCGCTAGATGCAAACTGGTGGTAAATTGATCCGTGAGAGCGCTGCGATGAATTAACGATGAATCGGCAGATGGCAGATCCCCACAAGCAAACTGAAACAGAGCAGCTTCTCAAAGTGAATTAGGGCTATATCCAGAAGACCATCTGCAATTTGAGATCTTTTCAGTGAAAGGAAATTGACAACTACTAGTACCTGGACAATCCTTTCACAAAAACATCTCCCAGGCTGCTTGCTGCCTAACGAAGGCCATGGAGATTCAGAGTGAAGGAGGAGGAGGTGATGACTGATGAGCGTATCAGGTCGGCGGGCACTGTGATACAATAATTCGAGGTGCCTCTAGATTGGCACATGTGGGTTGGGTGGGTTGGTGGGTGGGGTGCCATTGCCATCAGTATCACATCCCCACACACTTGTGTGAGTGAGTGGGCGGCTGGCTCGCACCACTACTCTTTTTCTTTTGCGGGCCCACAGCTGTAGACTCAGAGGCCGAACCATCTGATCATAGCTAGTTTTGCACCGAAGCCAATCAGCTCTGTATTGTACTTCCTCTGTCCGAAAAAGTTTGTTCCTGAAATGAATGTATCAAGTTAGTACTAGATACATCTATTTAAAGGACAAGGTTGGGGCAAGCTTCTCCGGACGGAGGAAATAGTACGTATTTAGTTACCTTACCAGCCAGTCCACCTGAATCCAAATAAAATCTGTTGAAGATACTACACTAAACCCGTTGTCGAGCGAGACGGGCACACCTTCTCACGAAAAACGATCCGGTTCTTCTCTAAGTTCAGTTGGGCGTTCTCCTCTTTGATTGGGCCACGAGAAAAATGCGCACGACACTTTCAGGCCAAGGACACTTTGAGAAAAAGGGATACAACGAACGAGAAATGGTGGCAACTTTTAATCAATTCATTCGAATTGGTCAATTTAGTACCGCTTAGGGCGGTAGGTATAGTTGGAGGAGAAATGAGAGGAGAAAGAAGAAAAGCAGGCTACAAGCTTACAGCCGGCTGTAGCACGGGTCCAACAACCTTTGTGGGAGAAAAAAGTGGGTCATATATTAAGGATAGTGCATATTAGTATGACTGACTTTTTCAACACTGCCCCCATACATTTCAAACACTTCTCCGTAAACACTTTTTTGAGAAACCGGATCAAATTCATGTAAACACGACGCATTTCATGCAAACCGGACAAAAACATTTACATTTTCGACATATTTTAACTAAAAAAAGGTAACACTATGTACACGCTCGGCGGCACAGAGCTCCATTCCAACAACATAGATACACTACACTAGTCTATGGCCTACCGCGGCGGATCTCTTGGTCTTCCCCATGTCCGACAGCCTGCTCATCGGATTGCCGGGAGCCTCAGAGGAATATTATTCCCTCGTATCTTTCCTATGTTCGATTGCGCCGCTCATTGGAGTGGCAAGGGGGTGCTTCAGCTGGAGGGAAAGGGGGGACTCCCCCGCTTCCGTGAAGCCCAAGTGGGCCAGGGTTCAACGATGGTCTGCGCTAAAGAACTGGGCAAGTCACCGGCTATGCAAGCCGCCGACGCGCCGGCGGTGGCCTTCCTGGGATCCATGCGGTGGTGGCCTCCTGTGTTTTACTATCCCTCGATGTTGGCGGCAGACGCGGACGCACTCGCCACCGACTCGTCGATCTCCGCATAGACGACTTCTTTTTCCACCAACCGGGTGTGGTTCCGTCAATGTTGGCGGTGCATGGCACGCCCTCTGGCCTCGTCCATGGCAGCAATGATAACAATTTCGCCGTGCTCCCCGCATACCTTCCTGAAGCAACTCGCCATTCCTCCCCGAGCTGGCTTGGAGCAGCAAGTCACTGAACCACGTGCTGGCTTGGGGCGGCAACTTGCTCCATCGGGCTAGGTGATGGAGGTGGAGCAGCCAGTTTCCTGGCTCGTATCTGGCGGGCTCGGCAGGCCACCCAGCCGGCTTTCATGCCAGTGAACTCCTCTTCCTACTCGCTAGGTGCCATGGAGATTGTGCATAAAATGGTGCAAGCAGGAGATGGGAGCAGAGGTGTGATGCGGGATCCCGGCGCTTGGCATCATTTAAATAGCGGGCAGACGGGAGGAGCTTGCCTTACATTGCGTTTAACGCCAACCCGCTTGTGAACGGACGTGTGGCCGGAGTAGGTTTCTTGGCTTCCATGCGGGTTTAATGGAGGAGTTTGAATTTGGCGAGGATGCATGTTCAGCTAGGCATGCAGTGGGTGGCGCCGTAGGCCCGTGCGCCGCTTCAATGGCAGAGGCAGTGAGAGATCACGTCCGCCTTGAGTCAGCTTCAATGAGGAGCGGCCGCTCAACAACAGTATGAAAGCGGGCAGCTGCCGCCTGGTGGGAACACACACATGCAAGGGGAAGGGTTTCAGGTGGGTCAGGGTGGTCAGAAGCGGTCGTGGGTCACGCTTGCAAATTCCCCACACGTTTGTCTCCGGTTTGGAGAAGAAAGTATGTCATGGCTGCCATATGGACTGATACAGGCCCTCGTTGGATGACTTCTGCGGTCCGGACATATGCGGACGGTTTAAGGGTCGGCGTTGGAGATGTCCTAATCATGCTCTTACAATATTATATAGAGTCATGTCATTTCATTGATTAACCGCGATATTTATGGGAATTGATTTGTCATCATGAGGTGTTAGGGCATCTCCAAAGCCGATTCTTAAATATCTTTGGTATATGATCGTTTTTATGCGCGAACGTGGTCTGCGGATATGATGCGGGAGAGAATCATCCAATGCTAATCACAAAGTTTGATTGGAAGGTGGAAGAGTAGGTGGGACCATGCATGTGGTGTGATATTTGTGATTTGGTGTCCTATTAGGAAGAGAGAGAGGAGAGGAGGACCATGCATGTGCGGTGGGGCGGAGAGAGAGAGAGAGAGAGAGAGAGAGAGAGAGAGAGAGAGAGAGAGAGAAGAGGAGGCCATGCATGTGATTGGTTAAGTGCATGTCCGAATTTCGGAAAAACCCTCCACGTTTGTTGCTAGGATACCGGAATCTGTACGTCCGAACTGCTAAGCGGATATATAAGGCTGCCCGTAATGGGGAGTATCATATGCTAGTATTATATAGATGATACTAGTGTATGTACTAATTCCATGACGCATATCATCATAAATTAATACCTTAGATTGCCTTATTAGTTGTCATGCATGACACAAAGTAGTGCAAACATTCAATATCCAGAAATAAGAGATGAATGTTCCTACAAGGCTCCTCAGCGATTTGGATTCCTGGCCATTGGATCTGGCTGCTTGATGCGATTTGGGCCATCGGATCGAGTCGCTGGATGACCTACGCCGTCGGATCAGATCCTTGGGACTGTAGGAATGAATAGTGATAGAAAACTTCTGTCACCGCGCGTAATTCCAGTGCCCCCGAGGGTATTCTCGTCATTTCGCTTTCTAGGGGTATAAAAAGGGGCCACGCCCGTGGAGAAACCTAGCCGGCTCCTGCTCCCTCGTTCGCTTCCTGCCCTCCCGCAGCTGTCGCCCTCTCTCTCGCGCACCCGCCTCCCTTCCTCTTCCTCCCGCCCCAGCGCCGCCACTACTGCATCCTTCCCCGCCGCCGTCCTCCTCCTCCCCTCACGTCCTCCTCCTCCCACTCCTGCCACTGCGCCCACCCGCCTCGTCATCGCCGAGGACGACGGCTCCGGCTCTGGCTCCTCCTACCGGGCCGCCGGGGCCGAGGAAGGCAGTCGGGGGGCCGCCGCCCGCGCCTCTCTCTCCTCTTCCTCTCTCCCCTAGCACCGCCCCTGCCTCCTTCCCCGCCGCCGCCCGGCCTCCTTCTCCTTTTCCTCTCGCCCCTAGCACCGCCGCCCCTGCCTCCTCCCTCACGTCCTCCTCCTTCCACCCCCTCCGGTCTGGCGCCACCCAACCATGGAGAGCGGACAAAGGAGCAACGATGGCCAGCCCCTGCCTCCTCTCCAGCACGTCCAAGGATCCATAGGTATGTGTCTATTTTGTTCTGTTCTTGGTCATTGGCTGCTGCTAATATTTGACTTTTGCTTTCTTTTTCCTGCAGATTAGTCCACAATTACCTGATTCTCGTCCTTCTGGTCAAACCCTTGGTAGGCGCCTCCTTCGATATGTGCGTGCACGTCATCTATTTGTAGCCTCACGCGTCTTCTTTCACGGATCTTCAGGTCAACCCCTCTTCTCCTCCTTTCCCCTCTTCTTTCCAGACCTAGGTGTAGGATTGTATGGCAATATGCATTTTTGGCCCCGCCCTGTTCTGCTTGTCGGTCATGTCTTTTCTGGTAAAAGCCAAAAGTATTTTTGTCTTTGTGCATTGGATGTTTGTAGTTTCCTTTCTTTCGTGCTTGTTTTTTAGTGGAGTCTAGATATATGTCTTTTGTTCCTTGTCTGCATACTGGTAGGGCCTATGATTGTGGGTCCTTTCACCTTTGTGCATGGAATGATGGTGTTTTTGTTCATTTGCTTGTTTTATTTATTGTTTTTTTACTGTGCTCCTATGATTTAAACAATAACTGAGTCAAGGGTGCCATTATCTGAGTTTCGAAATCTTGAATAGCAATTATGGTTTAATCAATATTTGCATTAGTGAGGAGCCGGGGTGGCCACACAAGCAGAATGGCCACACAAGGTGTTTTTCTCAATCAGATCACATGC